TAGAGCACTTATAGTTTGATCTGTACCATGTCTCTAGTTAAACAAAACAAAAGGCTGTGTTATATTACTGTAAGTTTGAGACTTAACATTATCCTATACATTGTTATTACATTATAAAACTACTCTGAAATGTGTTATTTAACAGGTGTTTCTTATTTAAAGAACCATACAATACAAAATGTAATGCCTCATAAAAGTCATATGTAAAATTAACTTATAATCTGTTCTTTGCATGCAAACATGCAACATTCTAACTCGTGGCAAAGCCAAGCATGTGCAGTTCTATAGACTGGCAAATCATGCATTTGAATTATTTTTTAGTGATTTGTTTTTTTTTTTCAGGTGAAAACAAAGGTTAAAATCAGAATTGGTTTTTGTTCATTTCATAGAGGTCAGTTAATGAAGAAAATCAAGAGAACTTAGCTTGACTAAATACATTTGTTAGAGAAAATGTTGTACGTTTTGCTACAGGTTTCAATCTAAGACATTTGAAGAGCAAAAGGGCATTTGAAATTGTCTTCATTTTGGACAATGTAGAGATGTCGAGTGTGCGAGTTCTGGCTGTCTTTATTTCATTTTGTCCTGTTGTTTCTCATGTTTATGACAAATTACTACTTTTGAAGGAAAGTACTGTATTTTAGTCTCCATTAAGCATTTGTATGACCACAGACAAATAAACTGTAATTACTACATCTAATTAATCATGACTTTTCATGGCCGTATTTTCTGTTTGTTGTTGTTGTTGTTTTAATGTTATAATGTGACATGGGACATACAAAGTGTGATTATTTAAAAAATCTTAACTTAAACAAGTTCAGCATTATGTGTGTCTTCAGAGAACTGAATATAATACCTTTACCCAATACCTTGTGATTTAATTTTTGAACTAGGTAAAAAAAAAAGTTCACCGAGAAACTTAAATCATAGAATTTTGAGATTTGAAGGCAGACTGACCCGACTGATGGGAGCTTGAAAGCTCTAGGAGTAAGTGTTAGTAAATGTTAGTGTCAGAAAAAGATTAATTTAAGGTTTAACCCTCAAGCATCCTTCGTATAGCAGCCCTTAATTTGTCCTTCATGGACAAATTTGGGCACGAAGGTCTCAGCTGTGATCCCGATTTTTTCTTCTTCAATAAATGTCATATCACTGTCTTCGATAAAATAAAAACGATCAATTTATGCCGTTTTTTGTGTGATTTTTTTGTGTTTTTTGAATTTATTTACCCCTAAAAGTACCATATTTTTAATGTAAAATATGCGTATTTTTGTTATACTTAATATTTCTTATACTTAAAGAAAATCAATCCAGTAAGTTTAGACAGCCAAAACCTAAAATTCTGGTGACATATGATGGTATAAAAATAAAAAAATATCAATAGCCACTATATGGTTGTAGTACTCTATGGCTGCATATAGGCTGAAATCAATAAACCACTGTTGTAATGAACTTAACCTCTTAAGTTTTAGATTTTATCGCAAGTTAAAAGTGTAAAAAAAAATCATTAAAAAAAACATTAGTGTTGGGTGAGACTATACAAAGATGCCAAAATATGCTTACAGACAAATCTGACCATGCTATAAGGAAAAGACAAAGTAGGAGACAGAGTAATCAAAAAACATCACATTTCAATAACTCAAAAAAGTAAAATGGAACCAAATTATTCCAAACAGGTAAGAATAAACAATAAACCTGCATGTTTCAGACATTTTTTTGTTGTTGTTGACATTTTCATCAACCAATCTTGCAGTAGGACTTTGATCTGATTTTGAAGTGTGTGTGTGTGTGTGTGTGTGCACAGTGGCACAAAAAAAGCTCAGTCATGGTCTCATTCAGATCTTTTTTTCTTGTAAGTGTCAGAGACTGTTTTTATTCGACAAAATATTTTTTTTAAAAAAAACTTCATAGGCTATTTCAGTGCTTTGTATAGACTCACCCCTTCATTTATGTGTATATATGATCTGCACTGTGTTGGATTTATTGATTTTTGTTGGACAAATAAAAAAAAATGCTTTGAATTTTAGTATTTCCCATTCATTTCCTATGGGTGTCCATCTTTTGGCACGAATGACAACTTTTTCAAACACTTAACTATGTTGAATCGAGTCCTCTTTTTTGTGTGTGTTCAGGTGGCAAATTTACGAAAAGTAGCCAAGTCTTGAACCGCTCAGATTAAGGAGAGTATTTAAAAAACTGATTTTGCCTAAACGTTGTGCTTTCTGGAGGCTAACATAATTTAAAATTAGCCTGCAGCGCCCCCTTATGGCTGCTCCAGCTGAACTACAGTTTCCGGTTGATGATAGATCGCGCGAGGCTTGGCTCAAAAAAGTGATCGCGCGCGAACAGCCCTGTGCTACGGTACTGAGGTAAACAGAAAACTGCGGATCCGCTTCGTTCGGACTTGGGTTTTAAAGCGATGGACATGTTGGACATGTTATTACAGCAAACATACTATCGACATTTCGAGAGAGAGTAAGAAATATGTGTTATCGTTATTCAAAGAGTGCCATTGCTTCACGAGACAGTCAGGCAAATCAAAACGAACAACGTGACCTTACAAATATAACGTTACATTTTTCGAGTAAAAGGACGAAAATATGCTATTTGTGAGGAGACTGTTTAATTAACACATTACACACAATCCTATTACTTAAGTTTTTTGAATTAATGTTTCTTCAGCAGAGAGCTGAAGACATCTCAGTAACGTTACACGATGTAACTAACGTTAGTAACGTTAAGCTGCTTCTCTAGAAAGAATTATTGGGCATTAGTGAATCAAATGTGCTAGTTTTTAGTTATGTTGTCTAGATTTGTGACCAGAACTGTAGTGACTAATTAGTTATGAAACAAACTGCGATTTAGTCATTGATGGCTATTGTTTTCAGGGCAAATTATCACTACCTCACTAACTTACCTCCAAGACAAGAGTCAGGATTCTGCAGTGAGGTAGAAATCACTCAAGTCAAAAAACATGATCTAAAAGAGGTCTTTTGCTTAGTAACTTGCATATGATGTTGTTTGCATATAAATTGTTTAATTTTTCTAATTCTCCATCAAGGTGAACATCTTGGTTCTCAAGGAGGTTACTACCAAATCTGTCTCTATGAAACTGCGGCGCAGCACAGTCCTGAGAAGCCGACGGCTTCATCAGCGAGAACATGTGAAGGACTCTGAGAGCATCTCTGTGGTGTTGAGTGACACTGACTCTAGTCAGTCAGACAGTGTGGAAGAAATAAAAGATCATCTGTCTGTTATTCGTGATCTGAAGCGGCCAGTAAGGAAGAG